CAGCTGATTAGATCACTGACCACTGATGAGTGCGCTCCCTTCCAAGCCTTCCAAACTGGACAAACCCTTCCAATCTTGAAGCCAGGGAGTAGTGTTGAAAGCGCCAAACCCCCAATCACACTGCTGGCTCTAACAAAAGATACATCTATGAAACGGGACTTTAAGTTTTAGGAGCTCTGAGCCAAGAATAAATACATTTTTCAATGATATCACATTCCTCATCAGCTTCCCTGCTTCCAGTCTGACCCTCCAAATGAGAACTAGAGTCACAGCCTGCCTCTCTTCCACTTACATTGTTCAGTACTTCCCATTGGATGTAGCATGTGATCCTGGCCTAATGAGAACGACTTGCTCTGGCTCCCACTCATCTAGCTAGTCTCAATTTCTCCTGCCACTCTTCCTCCCGGTCTAGGGGTCTGGGGCTGGCTGCACAGCCTCATCTGTATTCCTTGAACACAATGACATCTATCTCGCTCACGGTCTTTGCCATTACTGTGCCCTCTGCCTGAACTCATCTTTCCACTTTCCTCTCCATAGCTGATTTCTTTTTATCCCTCAAGTTTCAGTTTAAATGTCAACTCTCTAGAGAATTTCTGACTTGACTTTCTTTAGAACACCTCCCACTCCTTTCTTTGCTGCTTGTCCTACACTGTCCTTGCACACATGTGTCTATAGTAGCACTGGCTGCAATCATTCACGGTCTGATTCATTAACGTTCTCAGCCGCTATTCGTCTCTTCAACCCCAATGGGAGTGCCAGGAGGCATCCCGTCTCATACTACTGGTCTGACTGAATAAATGAATAATTTAAAAAGGGAGTATTAAAATACAGCGTCCTAAAATGAGACAGTGTATAAGATTTTGGTCACTGTTTTACTCTTTTAATAGGATCAACTAACACTCTACTGATTGCACTGCAAAATTTTGCCTTCTCTGTCATCATTAGTCATGACATGTTGATTCTTACATCGAATCACTTAGAGTTCAGTCTTATTCTCCTCCCCAAACAACAACTCCAGTCACCCCAGTCAATACTCTCATCCCCTCTGGGTGAGTCCCAGCACTGGCCTACATGCTCTCTCAGCTGAGCTGCCAAGTCTCCAGTCTCTTCTTTTTGCTCAGCCACACCACAGACAAAAGTCTGCTCCTTTCATCTGTCTAAACCAAAATATGCACTTCAAAGCATAGCCCAAATCCAACTTCTCCACGTAAGCTTTTCTTTTCGGTTAACATGTTCTGTCCTATTTTCTCAACTCTTGCAGCCCTTATTGTTTTTTGTAACCTTTGGTTATATGAAACATAGAACATTTAGTTCTATTGCCTACTCTTTCATATGTAACTTTTATCTCCAAGACAAGAACACAAGCCGTGATCCAGCCCTTCTTTCCCTCACTGTTACACCGATGCAGAAGCAGCACAGAGCCACCACAAGCCACTGCGGTTGACTGACTCACACCATCCTGAGGATCGATCATTTCAACGGCAATCATCCAGATGCATATACAGTGTAGCACCCGGAGCATACTGTCTCTTATGGTGACAAATCTTCCACATAACGTTGTTATGCCTGAAAAGTTCCTTTTATACATTTACTCATGTGGAAAATTCTTAACTCTCTTTTTAGTTTCAATTAGGGCAAAACCTACAGATGAAAGAGAGGTAACCATTGCCCCCTTCTTCTCTCACCCACCTACCCAACTATCTACGTAAAATGTCATTCCTACACTTTTCTGTTAAATTCTCTTCCCTCATGGACTCTGACACATCGTATCAATAAAAGTCTATGTGAGTCCAAGTCTCTCAAATTCAACAGTGTACAACTTAAGGCCAGGGAACTTCATCTTTTCAGTAGTAGCACAGCTATAGTATTAATTTGTTAAATAAAGAAATTGACAAATAAGTTGATGAAGAAAGTTGTTGAAAAAGCTAAGAATTTTGCATCATAGTTACTATTTCAGTGTTTTAAAAATTCCAGTAAACTACAATTAATGCCATTTAGAATGCTTATTCATTCTAAATCCCAAAAATAACTACCAAATGCCTACTGTGTTTCAGGCATAGAGAATACAGAAAAGATACAAAAATATGCCAATTCCTAACCTCGTGAAAAATAGATTAGACAAGCAAGGAACCAAGGCTCTTATTCTGAGTTGAAAACCCCAGAAGACATCTGATCAGGTTTCAGCCATAACGTTGATAAGATTTGGACCAGAATGATATCAAATTTGGTTTGTGGGTAGTTGTTAAAACCTTGAATTGACTCTAAATGAAGTACCATGAAATCAAGTAATGAACTAGAAGTGAGTCAAGAAACTTTTTCGGTCTATGCAACTGTGACACAAAATTTCTGAAAAATTTGGAACACTATGACTTTGAAAAGGGTGTACAGATATGTGAAGGGATTCTCTAAAAGTACACATTAAATTTTAATACACTATCTTGTATTTTACCTTTATTATTATTATTATTATTATTTTATGATAGTTAAAGAGGCTCCTGGGATTTCCCTTTTCCTCCCCTAACCCCCCCCCCCACCTAGTTCCCCTTTAATTATTATTAAAGTATAGTTCTCCATACACAGTCAGGGGATCACAATTTCAAGGTTGGAAGATATTTCCTGTCACCAGGGGGAAGCAAACAAAAAACTGGAAGCACAGTTGGATCAGGCCAAAAAATGTATTCAAGAATTGAAAGACATCATTAGGAGAGCTAATATAAGAGTTATGGGAATCCCAGAAGGTACAGAAAGAAAAACTGGTTTTACAAATTTTAATATAATATCTTGTATGAGTGAATTTCTGTTGAGAATTATTTCCAGTAAACCGTCGGGGTCAGGGTTTGGTTTTTAACCATACCAACAAGCTAGAATAGAAAAAAAATCCTGGACAATTGCATCCCAACTAACTTCATGAAGCAGTTCTTTACCAGGCATTTTGTAAAAGCTAATATTATCAATTTCTCATACCTCTATCCAGTTCTATTTTCAAAGACCTAATACAACATAGCTAGTACTAGAGGTTGAAATTTTTATAACTGCTAAAAGAAAAACACTAAAATCCACATCAATTTTTAAAAACCTTATGGAACCAAAATTTTGAATCTCAGAAGGAAACTTACAAAAAGTTCAAAGTGTTTATCCTACCCTAGATCATGATTCAGTTCAAGGACAGAGGAGATGACTCTGACCTCGGAAAAGGGCCATGGATGAAACAGTCCCCTAGTAGGTGACACAGAATGATTTAATTTCCCTAAGACTAAACCTTGAGACTGAGCAGTAGGAAATCTGGGTTGTCAGGCAGCTACCTAAACAACCTAAATAATCAGCTACTGTGCTTAATGGCTATAATTTGGGGTGAGACTAGTAATAATGGCTTATTTCTTTGTCATGCCTGGAAGTATATGTCTGCTAAACTTACCGAATTTGGGGATTCAAAGAATGAGACTGTTTATAAACATGTGATGCAACAGAAAGTCTGTATAATGACTGAGTCTCTTGCAACATAATTGAGTGGTGGTCAAGATGAGTTATAACTTAGACTTCTGAGTTTTCATTGGGCCGATAAAACCATTCTCACTCTGTCTGTGAGTTATTTTTTTTTTCTCTTTCCTTCCAGACTCTAAGTAGTTTACACAATAAATAGTTATTTCCATGAGTAGGAACTGCCAAGATGTCTAAGCCTCAAATTAAACCTATTATTATGGCTAGATCAAGGTTGCCATTCTTCCAGATTTTCACAGCCATACAACTTTTGACCCAGCTGATGCAAATGCAAGAGTAAATACAGTCTTCTGACCTCTTAACAAAGGCAAAAGTCAACACATTAAGGGATTTATTTCGCTGGCAAGTGATCCAGTGCTAAGAAGCACTGCAATGGATTTCTATTACAGCAAAACACTAAACATTCCTATAAAAAAGTCTAGGCAAGAGTTCATGCATAAATGCTCCATGTTCTCTCATTTAGGATTTAAAATACTGACATGAAAAATTTATTTGCTTCATAATATCTCAATAATATCAAAGAATAAAAATGAAAAATTTACCCTCTAGAGATCAGTCCCATGAGAGGAAATCTCACCCTAGCTGTAGGTGTACAGGAATAACTTCCTTTTGTACATGTTTTTTTTTTTCCTCCCACCTGAAATCCCTTTGCAACTGAGATTAGTAAATGTCCCTTCCTTTCTTGAAAATTGTGCCCTAAACCCACTTCATTCCAGCAGCAGGATGGCTGCAATGCTTCCCAATCCTCAACAAATGCCTTCCATTAAGGAGTCTGTGTTTAGATTGTCTGAATAGTTCTTGGACTCTGAAAAACCAAGAGAAAGATGACGTCTACAGGACCAATCTGTTGCCTACAAAGTGCCCAGCATTTGCATTGTCAAGCTCAAAAACCAAAAAAAATTCTCATTTTTACAACCCTTTCCAACATGATAAACAATGATTAAAAGGCAAAATATCAAGGCTCCAGTTTTCATTCTTTTCATTATTCTCATGTTTCATTGTTCATTATTATCACTTTCCTTTACTGGAAAAGAAGCAATGTATACCAAACAAGCTGTAAAACATTCACAATTAAAAACTGTACCACATCACAATCTACTAACGAGTTACAATTTCAAAAGAAAAACATGATACCCAATAAGCACTACAAGAAAGAGTGTTAAAGTTGCATTCAATTCCTTCCTGCCACACTAAAGCATTAAAGACACTGCAAAATTTTAAACTACCTGTTACCCTCAAAATCATTTTTTCAAGCCAAAATTGACGTCACCCTCCATTAACCTAAAGAATCAAGGCACTGCTTTCTCATGCATGTGTGAACTCAGGGCTCTGAAAGAGCGACTGATTCACTGCCATCATGCCTTTGCTCCAACCTTCAGACATTCTTTTCAAAATCTACTTGCTATCGTTTAGTTTTTAAGCAACTATTAAAAACATCAAACAGATGAATTTTATGTCATATACTATACCAAAATTAAAAGGCAAAATAAGTTGTCTCCTACCTATGGTTGTAATAACAGTGCCAGCAAAGAAGAACGAACTTGCCAAATCCCAGTGACTGATTTGATTGGAGGTGTTTCCTAAAGGTATAATCCCTGCATTTATTGCTGCCACTATTTGCTGCAAGTTTAAAAAGAAATGTATCAGTGCACATGAACCACACGGAAGCATTAAACAGCACATACATTACAGCCTAGAAACAAGCATTTATACAAAGAGAATCAATTCCAAGCTTTTTCCCCATTTAAACTGTACCATGCAGTTGCAAATTTTTTACTAAAGAATTTAATAATGGTGAAATCACAAGAAATTTACATTTGATATCAAGTGATGGGGCCCACATGAAGCCTGCAATATTGTACCAATTCATATCATTATCCATCAACACAGTAGTGACTTGTTTGGATTAAATATTTAATATAACAGTATTCTCTGGTAAGCAATGCAGATGGGTCACAGATTAAAGTTTCAGACTGCAAACAACAATGTAAATAGGACAGCTTCATCATAAACAAAAATGTGCTTTTGAAGTACAAATCATTCCAAATGTTAAACTCCTGCCTTCAAGCACAGAGTGTCTGAGCACAGAGGGCCTATGAGGAAAGCAAGGACTTCTCATTATCCATCTTCAGTTTAACTCACAGTCTATGTAGGTCTAGTCAAAAGAATTTCTACAGATTATAGATATAAATTATAAATCCTATGATGATGACCAAAGTTCTATAGATGGCCATCTGTAACACTTGAACATGGACCCCGGGTATCTGGAGACTATCTTGAATAATAGCAAGATACAAACAGAAAGATCACATTTCCATTTGTTTCTAAGTCATCAGAGGTTGGAAGGGTAACGGAGGAGATACAGCAGCACAAAAGACAGGAGAACACATCAAAAGAAAATGTATAGTAGAAGACAGACATGCGAATTAGAAGATGTTTCTGCTGGAAATAATACTTGGCAAATATTTATCATGTCTATAAAGCTTTTATAATTGGGAGAAACGTTATTAGGTAGTAATGGAAACTAAGGGCCATAAAAGAAAAACTCTTGTTTAAAGTAAGCTGACTAGTAAAAAGACATGAAGTATGCTACGAAAATAGAACCACTATTCAAGCAAGAGACTGGCTACAGCAAACAGCAACTGATGAAATACAATCTCACACCTTATTTTAAAATGAGCTCTTACAGCAGTTGTCTGATTTGTCTTATTGTATAAATCAGAACTTCAACAGTTTTATTTCAATAGAGTTATGCCGCTTTTATTTACTTCACTAGTAATAATAATCATTGTAAAAGGATAGGAAAACACACATGTATAAAAAATGAGAATAAGAATTACATATTAATTCAGAATCCACAAATAACCACCATTTATACATTTCTACTCCTAGTAGCTTAAAAAACTTTTATATAGCTGGATTTATGAAACAGATGAAATCCTTTATTTTACTTAATGCTATTTTATATGCATTTTTCTGTGTCACTATATGCACTTAGTCATTTCAATATGTAAATGTATATGTAGGTCTAAAACTTGTGTTATGATAAAACACACTGTCATTAATATATTTGTATATATTATCTCATTTCTAAACATTTCTTCTGGAGAAAATGCTAGAAACAATTTTTCTATATTAAAATGATGAATATTATAAAACTCTTAGAATAGTACATCACTATCCAAGAAGATTATTTCAATTTAGAACTAGTTCCCAATAATTTATGAATGGACTAACAATGCCTCTAAACAGTGACACCACATCTTTACTGACACAATAATAATTGTTCACACTTCAGTGTCTTTGACTATAAGTAACTTTGCACTTAAAAGCTTCCTTTATCCTGTGTTTAATATGCACAATTACACATACATGTATAGCACACAGTGAACTGGTTCTGGATAGCTGATTTATCTGAACTTTTCTGGTAATTTTAATATTTGATAAGACAGGTTTTATCTCAATATTTGTCTTTGAAAACATGCAGTTACTCTCATGTTACATTTGTATAAAAACTTTATAATCTTTTAGCCAAATTTTATGGAAGCATCTAATTTTATGGTTTTACTCTAACAAAATTCCACTAAAACATATTAGATGTTTTAAGTACGTTAACTGTTTCAAAATATGCGACATCTATTTATCAATTAAAGAAAATGAACACATAACTGTTTCTCATCAAGCAACATTATAAGATTCCCCATTTATTTAGCTATGTTTATCTACAAGGCTATTCTCAGATGTATTACCTTTTTCCATTTTAAATTATAATTAATTAATACTCATACACATACAAATATAGATTATTCATTCTTTAATCCAGAAACTTTCACAATTTTTAGCTCAAAACCAGTTTAGAATCTAAAAAATTATAGACACCAAAAGCTCTAATGAAACGATGAATGAAAACGACAAAATCATGTCAGCATTTTTAAGAAAACACCTTGCTTGTAAAAGAAAGAAACAAGACTCCACCACCTTTCACCTTGCACAAACATCAGCTCTAAATGGATCAAGGACTTAACTCTGCACCCAGACATCACCAAATCACTGGAGAGAAACATGGGGAACACTAGACAAGGCATGGGCATGGGCAAAGACTTCTTAGACAAGACACCAAATTCCCCCACCCCTCAAAATGGAACTACATCAAACTAAGAAGCTTCTGTACAGCAAAGGAAATGATCAACAAAGTGAAGAGGCAATCAAAATTATGTGAGAAAATCTTTGAACACCACACAACAGATAGGGGACTAATATCCAGGATTTACAAAGAGCTTCAGACACTCAACAATTGCAAAACAAAAATCCTGTTAACAAATGGGTGAGGACATAAGCAAACATTTTTAAAAGAAGAAATTCAAATGGCTAGCAGACACATGAAACATTATGGAACTGCAAATAAAAACCACATTGAGATTCCACCTAACTAGTGAGAATGGCCTACATACAGATTTCAACAAACATCAACTGGCATGGATATGGGCAAAAGGGTGCCCTAGCATAGACTGGTGCAGCCACTATGGAAGTCAGTACAGAGAGTGCTCAGACAACTCGGAGTTGATCAATCACATTTCCCAACTATCTGACTCTTGGGAATATATCCAAAGTGAAACTTGCATATGAGATGGCAACCCAATGCCTTATATTTATAGCAGAGCAACTCACAACAGCATTTGATAATAGCTTTGGAAAGAATACAGACACCCATTAATAGATGAATGGATAAATAAACTATGGTGTATCTACTCTATAGAATATTACTTGGCCATAAAAAATAATAAAATCCTATCATTTGCAACAAAATGGTCCCAAATGAAGACCATCATGCTTAGTGAAATAAGCTAATACTAACAGGATAAATATCATATTTTCTCTAAGCTATGACAGCCTTTCTGCAAAATATAAAATAAATAGATATAGGAAATCAAGTGTATACATATATTTTCAAAGATGAACCATATAGCAGAGATTAGCATACTGGGACATGAAGTTAAATTGCAGTATGCAGTATGTGTCTCTATTCCCTAATAAAACATTTCCACTGAAACATGTAAATATACCTGTACAACGATCCTAGGGTTTCTACCTTTGGCTATACGTACCATGTGACAATACATTTGCATAGCAGAAAGATAATCTCAGAACTGTTACTGAGGGACTGTAATATTGTGATAATTTGGCGAAAATGTGGGAAGAGAAAACAGGGAGGAAGGAAGGGGATAGGGTGGGCTCATAACTACAAATCTATATCATAGTAAATAACAAATACACTTTAAAAAGATAGACAGGAAATACCTCATACTCTGTAAAATCCCTGAGTATTTCAGGGATCAAATTTTGAGAACCAGCGCTCAACATTTTTTTTTTCATTTGTTCATTCTATTTTATCTTATACCTGGAAAAGCAAAGTACCTTCACTTAAAACTAATGGCCCTTCATCTGCACATCATTCAATGAACTGTGTTTCTTTTTTTGTTCTGGAAGGTATTTCTAGAGTAATATTGACAAGAAAAATGACAAGCAGATTCTCTGTTTTGCTATAGAAAATCCTCAATGGTTCTAGTATTTTAATATAAAATATATTGACTACTGACAAGAAAATCAGACATAATCTAAATAAATTATAAGGCAAGCAAATAGAAAGTACAAATAAGACTTTAAAAATTAAAAATATCTCTAAGAAATATTTGAAGATGATAATAAACAGGCAACTCTATTGAATTTATAGAATATGTACAGAAGATATAGAATATGTAGCTTAAAACCCTCAGCCTTCTGAACCTTAAAGAAGCATTAAAGATAACCCTGACATATGCTGTAACTCTGGAGGGAACAGACTCAGGCTGAAGAAGCATGGATGCCACACTGAACCCTGCGCTCATGAACGTTCCAGGCAAAGTCACAGGACTGCCAGATTAGTTGATAGCCAGGAAGAATCAAAGATGGGCAGGATTTAGACAAATTGCTATTGCATTCAAAGTAAGTATATTTTCACATTTTATAGACAGTCCTTCAACACTTCAACTTACTCAAAACAAATATATTTATGGTGTTGGCAAAGGGCAAGTGATGGAACAGTAGATAAGTGATACAGATGAGAAAACAGCAGGCAGGTCTTCCAAATCCACCACAGAAGTAAAACAAATTGCAATATTTCTAAAGCGAGATAATTCTTCCAACAACTGATTAATATGGCCTCCACGACAGCAACCTCATTTTAATTAATCCTTTTCTTGTCAAGGAAGAGGAGCAGTGCTACTCAGACACATGGACAAGGCCTAAAGTTATTTAAATTTTCAAAAATACGGAACTAGAATCAGAAAAACTAGTGGTTGCCAACGTACGGGTTGTAAATAGTTATCACAGAGCTATAGTTATTAAAACAGAAGCTTCAGATAAAACCAAAGTATTTCAGATCTTCGTGAAAATGAATCTACCATGGTATCTCTTCTCTAGAATATTCTCGTAAGCTTAATTTATATTTCTGTTCAAAATGTTGGTCAACAGCCACAGGAAGCTGGCTGCCCTTTTCTAGCACTGACCTACATCTAAGATTCTCTGCAATTTCAACATCAATTCAAGCCATCAAAGCACTTAACAAATACTTTCAGGAGAAC